TCGATGAGGAGGAGGATGTGGAGGATGCTGTTGAATTCGAGGCTGATCATGGCGGTGATGGTCATGCTGCTGGTGGTGACGAAGGCAGCGATAGTGATGACGATCACGCGCACGCTGGACGCCGCTGTTAATTGTATTTTCTGCGCAGCATGATGACGATGATGATGATATTGATGCCGTTGACGGTTGTTGATGACGATGTTGACGATGATGACACTGTTGCGGATGATTATTGTGATCACGAGGGCGACGCCGACGTCGATGGTAATGAGGATAATGGTTATGTGTGCCATGGTGATGGTGTTGATTATGTTTATGGTGGTGATTGTGATGTGGGAGGTTGTGACGATGATAGTGGGGATGATGGTGATGCTGATTGTGATATTGACGCTTGGTGTGATGATGGTGGTGATGCTGATGCTGATGATGAGGATCATGACAGAGCTCGTGGTGGTGGTGATGAGGAGTATGAAAACGAGTTTGATGGTGTTGAGTTTGATGATGATTGTGGTGACGATGGTGAATATTAGGCTGATCGATTTGGATGTTGTTGGTGGTGGTGGTGCTGCTGATGATGAGATCGATGGTACTGGTGATGATGATGATGATGGTTAGGATGATGCTGATGGTGACAAACATACACTGATGGTGATGGTGGTGGTGATGGTGATGATGATGATGCTGTCGATGATGCTGATGATATTGCTGATGCTGATGCTGATGATGATCATGGTGATGATGGTGATGATAATGACGATTACGATGATGATGTTGTTGATGATGCTGATGATGATGATGGTGAGGAGGACGATGACGATGATGCTGATGATGATGATGATGATGGTGATGCTGGTGATGCTGATGATGGTGGTGGTGGTGGTGATGAGTAGGATGACGATGACGATGACGATGACGATGACGACGACAATTGTGATGAGGATGAGGAGTAGGAGGAGGAGGAGGACGAGGAAGAGAAGGAGGAGGAGGAGGAGGAGGAGGAGGAGGTGGTTGATCTGGGGCGACTGCAAGCTTTCTGGCGTTCTCTTGGCTGCAGAGCAATTTGCTCCGTGGCATCCATGCTGCTCGCCAAAGGGGGGGGTTCGTACCTCTAATGGACGACCATCTGATGGCAGGCCTGGCTCCGCCGTGCCTCCCTCCAGGTTCTCTCTCCCTGGTCCTCTGGCGTATTTTTTGGTCCAAGAGCAGCGACTTTCAATCATTCCTGCTTCTAGAAGCCCGTTTCGGGTCCCAGAACAATCAAACACGAGATCTGGAGGAAGCATTTTCCTTGTGAAGGGGTCTGGAGTTCTTGGGGGACGTGAGAATCAGTGGTTTCGGTGACAGACACGCCCTCTTCCTTGCATTTCCCTCCTCTCTCCTCCCACTTCTACCTCTTCATCCTCCTCCTCGGTCCTCTTCCCCCTACGTGCTCTCTCTCTCTCTCTCTTTCTCCCCCGTCCGACCTCTCCTCCAACGGCGGTGGCGGCGGCAGACGGCGGCGGAGACGATGGCGTGGACGACGGCGACGGCCGCGACGGGCGACAGCGGCAGTCGCGGCGACGACGACGTTGACGGCTCCCGGCGTCCGGGCTGAGGCCGTAGAGGCGCTTTACAAGGCGCGGTCCCTGGACGGCGAGTGCACGGAGATCCACTGCAGCCTGGCCTCGCCCTTGGGGAGAGGCCTGCCTCGGGCACAGCAGGGCGCATTGCCACGCGGGGGGAGGTGTTACCGTGAAAGAGCCCTAAGATTTTGGCGTCGCAGTTTTTTCGCAACGGGCGATTTCGGATGGTTTCAGGCCCTGGGGCCGTCACATATCGATCTAGTTTTGGTAACTGCGACAGAAAGATCGCGTCTGGGGCTCCCGTCGTCATTTTCACCATCTTTCATTTTTTCGCATCGTCGGATCTCAGGGAAGCGGGTCCTTGCCGTTTTCGGGACCCCTTCGGGTCGGTCGAAGGGGGGATAGGCAAAGGGGCTGGGTACGACGTCGGCTGCCTGGAGCTGGCTTCGGTGCCTCTGCCGGGCGCCTTCCTCGATATGCTGGCGCCTGCCAGCGCCGGGAGGCGCCGGAGACAACAGCTGCGCGTGAGCTGACTCGCCAAGCTCCCCTTCTCTATGCTCGCCTTTCGTCCGACCCGATCCCTGGGCTCTTCAGGGCCCCAGGACCAAAAACGATTCGGGACGAGAGACTAGGATCCAGGACCCGTCTCCAGCGGGATACCTGCCCCTCGTGCCAGAACGGTTGACTCGAGGAGGAGGGAGAAGGGGAGAAGGAGGGATGATGCAGAAGAGGTGGATGAGTAGTGGAGTCTGGTGGAGGGGGGAACGAGAATTGGACGGCAGATGGAGAAGAGGAGGAGAGGGAGGAGGACGTGGAGGAGGAGGTTGAGGACCAGTGAAAACCGCAGACGCAACAACGATATTGCGAGAAAGCCTCCCTCCAAGTGCCCTCTTCAAAGGTCCCCACAAGATCTTTTTCCATTTCAGGAGATGCTCCATTGGAAGACAACTGTTTAATGATCCTCAATCGTGCCAAAACGCAATCGCTGGTTGTTCGCCGTCGAGAGGCATCGTGACTGTTGCGCCTTGACAGCCCTTAATCGGGCCAGATCATCTTCCTGGGACTTCAACGCCTCGAATTTGCATGACATGCATTCTGATACCTTGAATCTGGCCAGAACGCTAGTCCTGGGACTCGACCATGCGAATCCTTGAAACTGCTGCAAACATTGAAGACATGTGCGCGGCGCCTCGGCGAGAGCCACCGCTTGAAACAAACAGCCATTCATCCGTGCAATTGTTGCAGACTTTGAGGGCGAATGTGCGCGGCGCCAAGGCGAGAGCCACATTTTGAAAACGGCCCGCCCTACATCCGTGTAGCGTCTGCAAACTTTTGAGACGAATGTGCGCGGCGCTTGGGCGAGAGCCACATTTTGAAAACGGCCCGCCCTTCATCCGTGACATTGCTGCAAACTTTTCAGACGAATACGGGCGGCGCTGAGGTGATAGCCAAATTTTGAAAGCGGCACGCCTTCCATCGATGGTTATGTTGTAAACTTCGGGCTCCAGGATCATAAATGGTGAGGACGTCTCAGACGTTTCGTATTCGCGACACGTTTGTGGGTAGGACAGGGAGGAGTTGCTTATAAGGAAGGAAGACTGAAAGAGGGAGTGGAGAACAGATGCGGAGAAGGGTGATGAGCAGGAGGAGGCAATGTCAGAAAAGAGATACTGTCGCTTCATGGCGGAGTGAAAGAGACTGGCCTGCCGAGTCGGTGGCCATCAGGGAGGTCTAGATAAGGAAGAGATGAGCATGGGGAGACAGGGTGACTCGAGAGTTCAGCTGGCGAGTTAGAACCAGCCAGCGGGCCCCGGCCGCTTCCATTCCACCCTCACAATTTGCGCGACGTCGAGGCCAGAAATACATTTCGATAGTTCCTTGTCATGGATATTGCAAAATCGGTGACAACTCGTGTTCGCTCCAAGGAAACACGCCGACTGCGGTATGCTCTTTCGATTGGACAAGTGGGACGTCCCGCTTAGAATCGCTATCAGGCATCCCTGGTTGAGGGCGGGGGTATTATCGCCACGGAAGAGGAAAAGGAAAGCAACACGCAATCATTCCACGCGCCTCGGCGAGTGGGTGCCGGCGGATTACTATTTACAAGTACTACATGTATGTCAAATGCTTAAAGTAATTGTTTGTTCGTCTGTATACGTATATACACGCTCCTGCCCCTTCCCCTTCCCTCGTCCGCCTCGTCCCTCTCCCTCCCTGAGATTGGAACGCATCTTTCCAACACCGGTCCTTTCTCGAGACGCGTCTGGGTGGCCAGATCACCTACGCCATGCCTTGCTGAGGGCCGAGCAGCTGACGGGCCTGCTCGAGGTGGACCCCTCGCCGGGCCGACCCCGCGCGGCTTCTGCGGCCGGAGGCCAGAAGCTTTGTCCCCAGGAGGCCAGGCGCCCGCCGTGGCCGCGACGAGTGCGCGCGCACGCTCCGAGGGGTTCCGAGGGCCTGCCGAGGACTCCGAGGGCCCGCTGCCGACGGCCTGCCCGGGGCCCCCCGAGGGCCTGCCGAGGGCCCCCGACGGGCATTGCGTGGCATGCCGCGGGCCTCCGCGCCGCGCGCGTGCGCGGCGCGCCCGCGTGGCCCCCTCGCGCGGCGGCGGGGCGGCGGCAGCAGGTCGAGCTGCTGGCGGCCGCGCGGCGGGTGGACGAGGAGCGGGCGGCCGCGCAGCTGGCCGTGGGCCGGCGCCTCGTCCCTTGGGACCCGCCGCGCGCCCGCGCCGCGCGCCCGCGCCTCGCCGCCCGTGTGCAGGTGTGGCCAGAGGTGGCCATGGCCCAAGGTCGGCATCCGCCCAACGATACTTCTGCTGTGTGTGTGTGTGTGTGTGTGTGTGTGTGTGTGTGTGTGTGTGTGTGTGTGTCGGCCCCCCAGGGGCGACTCGCGCGCGCGCTCCGAAATCGATCCCGCCTTCGGCGCATCACCGCCGCCCCCTGCCTTTTGCAGGAGCTTGGCCAAGCTATCTATCCGACAGTGGTTATAGGTGTCCTGCCCTTGGTAACGAAAAGGGGGCGTGCATGACGTGCATGAGATCCCTTCCAAATGAAAAAGGTTTTTTTTTGGCCTGCGTAGGTGTGGCGCTTCCGCACGTGGAGGGCTCCGCTTGCCGCGCATGGCTTTCCATGTATCCTTTGGCAGTTGGCCGTTGTACTTTGTCTTGTCTGCGCGTAGCGTGACATGTGTGTGTGTGTGTATTCTAATCCCTGGAAGTAAACAGCACAGCAGCATTGCTGTGCAAATCAAAGCGAGTGCTGCCCGAACACGACTTCATTCCTGCATGAGCACGAAAGTGCGGTCGCACGAACATATAATCATCACATAAATGATAAGAGTAATATCCATAGTAGTAGTACTTATAGTAATAATAGTAATACGAGTAATAATGATGGTAATGGTAATAATAATAGTAACCATCATCGCACAAACACGAGATTTTTCCGCGCGAGCGCGGAATTATGCTCGCACGAACACGACATGCAGTCCGCACGAACACGAAATGAGGCTCGAATTGCTGCAGGAACTCCGCCACGAAATGCGTCAGAAATGCCGCGCGAAATTGTTGCGAGAGTGTCTCAGGCGGATTCTTTTTTTTGTGGGCGTTCGTACGCGCGCTCGCAAACGAGTCCGGATAATCAATTGTGGTGCCGTTTCGCGCGGCCATTCTGGGCGGCATTCTGAAACTATTTAGCTCCGGCAATCTCGCGCGGGCAATTTCGCGCCCCTGCGTCGTTCTCCTGGCCTCCCGTGCTTGTCGCTTGCCGTTGGCGAGCCGGGTTGTTTTCGCTGCTGGGACGACTCTGCTGGTCGCAGTGCCGACGGGTCGTGTGTATGTGCCAATTGTGAGAAGGGAACGTGGTCCAACGCCCGAGCCTTTGGGCGGGCTGCCAGGGGTGTCCATCCCGCCGTGCCATGACTACTCACACGAACTTCCCCGTGGCGCCCAGGTAATTTCGTGGCCCATGTCGTGCCCCGTTATGCCTCCAAGGGGCAAGCTTCTGTGACATTCGTGTATTCCCCCAGCCTCTCATGAAGCTCTTCGTGGAAAACTTGGGGGAGGATGAGGGGCAGGATCAGGAGAGGGAGGAGGAGGCGGCACTTCGGGAGGAGGAGGAGGCTCCCCCGCAAGGCCATCGAGGCCAGGCGTTTGGCACGAGAGGGGCTCGTCGAGCTGCTCGCGGCCCTCGACAGCGAGCTGGAGGAGGAGGAGGCCCTCCGCCGCCTGGAGGCCGACATCCAGGCAGCTGCGGAGGAGGGGCGGAGGCGCCAGGCGGGCGAGCTCGCCGAGCGCAGCCAGGTGTCTGGCCTCCTCACGCAGCTCCGTGGACTGCAGGCCACGCGGCGCCAGCAACTTCGAGTGCGAGTGGGCCGAGATCGCAGACGCGGCCACCCGGCTGCCAGGAAGGGGGCAGGTGCGGTGGGATTCAGCCCCGCGGCGTCGCAGCACTTGCCCTCGGCGGCGGCTGGGGTGCGCAGAGGGGCGCGCGGGCTCTGGAGGCTGGCGGCGCTCGGCGCGCGACGGCGGCGGACGCCATCATGGGGGGCAGGGTGTGCGACCTCGACCCGACGGCGAAGGCGCCGACCGCCGCCTTCGCTGAGACCCTCGCCAGTGGCCTCCTTGTGCTAGGCAGCAGCGGCAGCGGATGGCGACGGCCCCTGGAGGTGCTGGAGGGCTACGCCCGCTTGGGGGGCGCTTGGCCGCACGTCGTGACTTTCCAAGTCCAGGCCTCTGGCGCCGGGCAAGTTGGCTTTTGCATCTGGCACCGCCAGAGCGCTGGGGCCCAGAGGGCACGCGGCTTTCCACCGCGCTGCCCAGGCTACAACAGGCACGGGGCCCAGCTGCACGCCGGGCGGAGTCTCCGTCCTGGCGCGCAAGGATCTGGTTGCGAGGGAGGTGCCGTGGCTTTTGCTTGCTTGCCTCCCCCACCGACTGCTGGGGGAGGGGGTGATGCTGCCGTCGGGATTGGAGCCCGTGGTCGCCGCTGCCAATTTCGAGCGCACCATCGGACCGAGGGACGGCAACCTGGGCCGACTCCGAGGGGCAGCTCACCGCGGCAGCAGGGCGCGCGCCGCGGCCCCAGCGGGCGGATCTCAACATGGAGCCAGCGACGGTGCAGGAGCTCAGTTGGCCAGAGTGCCACTGTGGAGTGACCGGCGGACCGTGGGCGCCAACATGCTTCGCCGAGAAGCAGGAGAGGGCCTTCGATTGGTTCGTTGCGTCGCAGGACCTTGCGCACGCGGCGAGGACCTGTCGCCCCGTGCCTGGGCTCGGACTCCGCCCCCACGCGCCCGTGGAACTCGCCCTCCAGGACGCGGGGTCAGAAGCGTTGGTCCAGGTTCTGAGGAAGCCACGCCCTTTCCCGCGCTGGAGAATTTCTGACTTGCGAGGCCCGGGAGGGCGCGCGAGTGGCGGCTTTCCGCCGAGGCGGCCGAGCTGGCTGCTGGCATTGCGGCCCCCCCGAGCGGCGCTGGCAGCCAGGTGGGTGGCCTCGCAGCGCAGTGGATGTCGCCGGCAGAAGAGGCTTGATCTGGATCCACGGCATGACGAGCAGCAGCGGGGTCACCTTCGCGGCCGAGGAGGGCGCCCCGCCCTCGCCCCCAGACCGACGAGCGCCCCGGCTCCGCGCCGCCGTCGCGCGCGAGCTGCGCTGCGCCAGCGACTTGGCGCAGCAGCGCATCAAGGCGGAGGCGGCCGAGAGGCGCCCCCCGTCGCGCGAGCGGTGGTGCAGCAGGGGGGCGCGCAGGCGGCGCTGGCGCCATGTCCGCGAGCTGGAGACTGCTGCAAGCGGCGGACAAGGCTTCGACATCGGCGGCGACTGGGAAGAGTTGATCCACGACGCGTGCTTTTGCGGCGTCGCGGGGGCCGCCGCGGCGCTGCGCGGGCGGCCGGCCGCGGCGCGCCGCCGCGACGCCCGCGGGCAGAGTGGGGGGCGCGGGCGAAGGCGGCGGCCCCGAGGGGCGGGCGGCGCGCGCGCCGTTTCGCCAGGGCCACCGCCCCGCTTGCCGCCCTCGACTTGCCTCCCCTTAGCTAGGTGCTAGGTGCTTTTGGGGCCTCGCGATCGCGCCCAGTTCCTCCGTCGGGGGGTCTGGGTCTCTTTGCGCGCCCAAAACCCATATGGCAACGCTGCGTTATATGTTGTGTGATTCCCAAACTCGCGTGGCCGTTTCGCGCCGCGCTCTCAATTCCGTTCCCCAACATGCACGCGCACATGCGATTGACTCAATCACACCCACGCGCGCCAATGTACACATGTAGAAGTATACCCCGACGCGTTAAGCCACATGTGTTCACGCGGATATACATGCACGCATGCATGCTGTATGCGCATTCACACATATGACACACGGGTGTACGTCGTAAAACACCCAAGCAAACACATGTACGCAACTTACATGTGCTCATATATGTTCATTCTGTGCATTATGTGAAGGTCTGCGTGTATGAGCTTGCATATGCACATCGGCCCATGCTCCTCCAGGGACGCGAACAAGAGAGTTTGATATGAAGGTAGAGGGGGGAGAAATGCTAAGAGAGAACCTCCAGGGGATATGAGGGAAAATGGGCACCAACAGTTACTTCGTAATAGTGGTCCCCCGATCCTGGTTGGCCATCTTGGCCCTCGTGGGGTCATAATGATGCGTTCGCCCGTAATGGCCCATTGTTGCGGTTGATGATTCACTATGATCTGAACGAAGACGCTCTGGGTCCACAGAATCGACAGACTGAACACCCCCCCTCAGTAAATCAAGCTCGGATGCGTCGACGCCCTCAGGAGGAGGAACACCCCCATCTCCTCGCCCATCATCAGCCGAGTCTCCTCGGGGCCCAGGGGCGGGGGCGCGACCGCGGAAACAAGGAGGCAGCTTCTAATGTCTCACGTGTGCCGCTTGCAGCGCATCCATTCATATACTTATGCGCTACAGAAACGCAAGTACGTAGAGTCGTGCACATGCGCATATGAGCATCGCCCGTATCCGCAAGGGTTGGGTGCTATGTATATGGATACAAGCGCGTAAATTTAGGAGGGTGAGAACCATTGCAAAGCAGAGCGACGCGAACCAAACCAAACCATATAATACCACCTACGTTCGAACACCTAAAACAAAGCCACGGGAACACAGCAAAGCACAACAATGCGAACCCAAAGCAATGCAACGCAAGGCGACGCACAAGCACATATATCATCAAACCAACTCGTCGAGTTCATCAATCTGCGGAAATCTTATGGGGGTTCGAGCGCTGGTAAATCCGATCTAGACATGCGAAATCCTTGGCCAAGTCACGGGGCATCTTTTTGCACTTGCCCACTCTCCCGTGACAACTAGCAGCGAAGGCTCGGGATGCCCGCCGAGCCCGAGCCCGTGGTATACACTTCGTGGGTCGCGGTCGCCAGACGTGCGCCCGTGCCATAAGGGCTGTCTCTGATGCTTCCCATCTCGAGCACCACTTGCCATTGCGGGAAAGCGAGGACAAGAAAGAGGAGGAGGAGGAGGAGGAGGAGGAGGAGGAGGAGGAGAAGGGGGGAGGAAGAGAACGAACGCACGATTGATACGTGCTGCGCCTAATCCGCCACCGCACTTGCAGCGGTAGGTTCACGTTGGGTCATTGCGCTCTTGCGAAGCAAGAACTACGTTCACGTGCGTATAATTTCGTGTGGATATTTTTGTATGCGTCTACATATATGTATACATATGTACATACTCGTTGTTT